ACAAGTCAAAGATGATTAAATATATGTGCAGGCTGTCCGATTTTACGGATCGACCGATGTAACAGTAACTGGAATCCAAATAAAGAACAGCCCTCAGGCGCACCTCAAGTTCAATGGTTGCACCGGTGTCACTGTCAGCAATATTAAAATTACTTCACCTGGGGACAGCCCCAACACAGATGGAATTCACCTACAGAACACCAAGACCGTTACCATTACAGGCACAACTATAGCATGTGGTACGTACGTGCGTGCGTAGATATATAGATGCATACTCGATCATGCACGCATATAATAATTAATCATCATCTGATGCATGTATGTGCATGCATGCATTGCAGGAGACGACTGCGTATCCATACAAACGGGATGCAGCGGTGTCGATATATCGAAGTTGACATGTGGACCTGGTCATGGAGTTAGCATTGGAGGGCTTGGTAAGGGTGGTACTCAAGCATGTGTCTCAAACATCAAAGTTAGTGACAGCACTTTTACAGATACATTAACCGGTGGGAGGATAAAGACATGGCAGGTACGTAATTGATTATGATCGATATATAGTTACCTCTGTCTCGTAGAAAAGCGATAGATGTTCGACTGACCATAAATGATATGATGGATCTGATGGATGGGCGCATGGATGCAGGGAGGATCAGGATCAGTGAGTGGAGTGTCGTTCACAAACATTAAATGTGTGGGTGTGGAGACGCCAATCATGATTGACCAGTTTTACTGTGACGGTGGGGGATGCAAAAACCAAACAGCAGCGGTGGATGTAACAGATGTAACGTTCCAAGGCTTTACCGGAACATACACAAAACAAGGTATGGAATTAGCTTGCAGCGGGACCGTTCCTTGTGCGGAGGTAAAACTATCTGCCATCTCTCTCACGGCCTCGGGAACAAAGGCTGGCCCTCCGCTCTGTGCAGACGTATATGGAACAGCCGCGGGAACTATTAGCCCACCCATCTCTGGTTGCTTAAAGGCCGGCACCGTAGCAAAAAAGAATGCTAATTCTTGCACATGATCCATGCACGCATCATCTTCCATCCATCCATCCATATGTATAACCTCACATGCATGCATTATATCTGTCTTTAATTATCAACAATCAAAACTAGCTAAATAAGTACGTACACTACGATGTATCCTCACCTAGCTAGCTAGCTACTTTGAAGCTAATTAAGCTAGCTTTTATGTATATTGATAATAATTAAATAAGTTGCATTATTAATTTGCACTTCCTAACTTCCTTGTGCATCTCATCCCCTAATTTTCTCGCCCCTAGAAAAAATTGCTTTTACACACACACACACTCACTCACTCACACTACCTCAATCCCATTTTAGGTAGGCATCTTTTACTTTTCCAATCAAAGATGTTCAACTTTGACCAATTATTTTAATTAATATATTTATGTAAAATTTAATAATTTTATACTTTTATGATAGTATTTTTAACAAAGAACATTTTCATATGGTCAATACTTTCAACAACAACAACATTTTCATATTGTCAATACTTTCTTTATATAAATATATAATGAGGTTTTTACAACAATATTACTAAAATAAAACTTATTTACATAAATATGATTATTCATTACTACAACGTAGTGTTGTAGTAACTTAAGTTCAGAACTTGAACATGAATTACTATGATTTCATTACTACTCTAGTAACTAATCATATTTTTGCAAATCATCTTTATTTTGGTCATATTAATGTAATTATTTCATATATAATTGGTCAAAGTTGGATATCATTGACTTGAAAAGTCAAGTTCTACTAACTAAAATGGGATGGAGGGAGTGTGTTTGTAATAGAGATCAAATACAAACTCTCCTTAATTTACAAACTACAATAAATTAAACATATAAATTTCAGCTCAAAAATATTTACAAACTACACCTCAAAAAATTTCAGCTAAAATTTCGATCAGGAAGGAAGTCAAATAATTTTTTTGAAAACAATTGCGCTAAATTATACTCCGTACATATAAAACACAGTTATTTTGAAAAATTTATTTGACTGCCTACCCGATCGAATTTTTAGCTGAATTTTTGTGTGGATAAACTAGACTTGATCAAGAACATGCACAAAATATTTCACCAAAAAACTCCACCGCGAACCGCCCCAAATGGCGGCGGCCGGACGGTGCCTCCTGTCCATTCAGATGGGCATGATCTTTTTCCTATATATAATAGAGATCAAATACGAACCCTCCTTAATTTACAAACTACAAACTCATCTTGGTCATCCGATGAGTTGATCTAAAGGGTATAAATGCAATGTGGCATTTTTGTAATAAAAGCCAATCTATACAACCGCACTATAAGATAATATTTGCAATATTAATTATTATGATAATACTAAGCAACTGATTCCAACGTTGACGTGTGGCACATGCTGCACATGTATGGGTATGTATGGACCCAATTTGTGTAACGATGCATAATTTCTATCATGCCCCGGCAGTTTGATCGGGGGGTAATTGAACGTTCAAACTGGACCGAAAGTCATCAAATAATATTCGAGGAAGGCCCTTTGTAAAGATATCAGCATATTGAAAACGGGAAGGGACGTGAAGTACACGTACGTGCCCCAGTGCCACCTTTTCACGGACAAAGTGTATATCCATTTCGACGTGTTTTGTACGTTGATGTTGTACCGGATTGTGAGCCATATAGATGGAACTAACATTATCGCAATATACGATAGAAGCCTGGGAAAGAGGATGCCGGAGCTCTAGTAATAAATTTCGGAGCCAACAAGTTTCAGCAACAACATTAGCCATGCCACGGTATTCGGCTTCGGCGCTGGATCGAGAGATGGTAGCTTGCCGTTTGGAGGACCAAGAGATAAGGTTATCACCTAAGAAAACACAGTACCCGGATGTGGACCGACGGGTGTCCGGGCAACCACCCCAATCGGCGTCAGTATAGGCAAGCAATTTGCTAATGGGGGAAGGACGAAGATGAAGACCGTAGGACAGTGTGCCTTTTACGTAGCGAAGGATACGTTTCAGAGCATCGAGATGAGGCAGCCGGGGATCGTGCATGTATAAGCATACTTGTTGGACAACATATGAGAGGTCCGGCCTGGTGAAGGTTAGATATTGTAAGGCTCCGGCAAGGCTGCGGTAGAGGGTAGGGTCTGGAACGGATGGACCAGATTCAGCACTGAGTTTAGCTTTTGTGTCTACGGGTGTGCTGGAGGAGTTGCAAGATGCCATGCCTGCCCGTTGAAGAATTTCTGCCGCATATTTGTTTTGTGAGAGGAAAAGTCCTCCGCGGTTACGGGAGACAGAAATTCCAAGGAAGTAAGATAGGGGCCCCAGGTCTTTGATTGAAAATTCTGTTCCAAGTTGGGAGATGAGCTTTGCGAGTAGTTGGGATGTGGAGGCAGTAAGTATTATGTCGTCCACATAAAGAAGAAGGTAGGCAGTTGCGCCGGCTTGATGATAAATAAATAGGGAGTGGTCAACTTTACTATGTTTGAAACCCAATTTGGTGGCATGATTGGCGAAACGGTGATACCATGCACGGGGAGCCTGTTTTAAGCCATAAAGGGATTTTTTAAGAAGGCATACATGAGAGGGCCGAGAGGAATCCTTGAAACCGGGCGGTTGATGCATATAGACCGTCTCATTAAGAAACCCGTGTAAAAATGCATTGTTGACGTCCAGTTGATGAAGGGGCCAAGAGTGTGAGAGAGCAACACTTAGAACCGTGCGAATGGTAGCCGGTTTGACTACGGGACTAAAAGTCTCGTCACAATCAATCCCTGGCCGTTGAGATTTACCGTTGACCACCAAGCGGGCTTTGTGACGTTCCAAGCTTCCATCGGACCTGTACTTATGCTTAAATAACCACATACAACGGATAACATTAGCATTAGGAGGACGGGGAACCAACTCCCACGTCTTATTATTAATGAGAGCCGTAAATTCAGAGATCATAGCCGATTTCCAGTTTGGATCCCGGAGGGCATGGACATGAGATTTGGGCAAGGGAGAAGATATAAGTGAGGTGTTGTTGTTAGTGTGGAGATTATAGATGGGATTTGGGCGAAATATTCCAGCCTTGCTGCGGGTAAGCATGGGATGGCGTGTTGGTTGGGAGGTGGTGGGAACCGTATGAGCTGGAATGTGGGTGGCAGTATGGTCTGCTGGAGAGGGTGGGGGCTGTATAGGTGCCGTAGGTGGAATTGATGATGAGGGTACAGTGGGTGTTGGGGATGATGGTTGTATGGGTAAAAGGTGTGATAAGATAAAGGGAGATGGTGAGTCATTAAGAAAATTATATGACGGTGTGGGTGGAGTAGGGGTATGTTTAAAAGGAAAATTAGACTCATCAAATGTAACATGGCGGGAGATAATAATGCGGTGTGTGGATAAGTCAAGACATTTATATCCTTTGTGTTGAGACGGGAAACCAAGAAATACACATGGGGTAGTGCGAGCGGCAAGCTTATGGGGGGTGGTAATATGGGGGTAGCACATGCAACCGAAGATGCGTAAGTGAGAGTACGACGGTTGTTTGTGATATAAGGCTAGTGTGGGAGAGATATAGGAAAGGGATTTGGAGGGAAGAATATTATGTAAATAGGTGGCCATAAGCACGGCATGTGGCCAGAAACGGGGTGGGACAGAAGCATGGAGTAGAAGGGTGCGGGTAATATTATTTATGGAGCGAATTTTTCTTTCGGCTTTACCATTTTGGGGAGAAGTATATGGACATGAGAAACGAAATGAAATGCCATGGGTTGAGCAATAATTGTGAAATAATGAGTTATTATATTCACGACCATTATCACATTGTAGTGTTTTAATAGAAGTTCCAAATTGATTTCGTACAAATGCATGAAAGTGTACAAATTTGGAGAAAGCGTCGGATTTGCGAAATAGAGGATAAACCCAAAGAAAATTGGTAAAATCATCTAGAAATAAAATATAATACCGGTGACCAGTAGAACTTAAAATTGGATAAGTCCATAAATCACTGTGTATAATATCAAATGGAGCATGAGTGTAAGAAAAAGATGGGGAAAATGGTAATTTATTGTGTTTCCCCATTTGACAAGATGAACAAATATCATTATATGATTTATTACAATCAATGAATTTATTTGTGCTAAGACTACGAAAAATAGGGATGCCGGGATGGCCAAGCCGGTCATGCCATAATGCAGAGGAGAGACCAGCGAAATTGTGGTGGGTGGGAGAGGCACGACGAGGAGGGTCACACACCGGATACAAATCACCTTGGCTATTACACCTCATGATTGGGGTCCTTGTACGAAGATCCTTCACAGAAAAACCAAACGGGTCAAATTCAATAGACACGTGGTTATCATTAGTGAATTTTCGCACAGAAATTAAATTTTTAACAATATGGGGCGCATGCAAAACTTGAAGTAGTTTAAGAGGGGAATGAGAGGAGGGTAAAATGGTGTGTCCGTGACCTGTCACCGGAATAGATGAACCATTACCGACAATAATACTGCCTTTAGGACCCGTATTAATAAAAGACGAAAGAGTACCTGCGTCGGAGGTCATATGAGAGGTTGCCCCGGTATCCATATACCAATTGTCGTCAGGTGGAGTGAGGCTCATATTTTGCATGGCAGTGTGCATGTCTGTGGCCGAGAAACTGGGAGAAGAAGTTGTTGGAGCGTAGTTGGGAGTGCCAACCGTGAGAGCGTGTGGGCGAGGACCAAGTATGCCTGCAGCTGGTGAGCGAGACACGTTGGACGTACTGGGAGCGGTGGGGTATGGACACGGCGGCATTGATCAGTAGGGTTGCATCCAAGGGGCCCAAGGGGGAAAAGGCCACTGGGAAGGAGCAACTGTAGCGTCACTAGTCCGGCCTCCAGAATTTCGTCCGCGCCCTTTGCCCCTGTTGGAACTGTGACGTCCACCTCCTCGACCCCGAGAGATAGACGACGCCTGGGGATGTGAGACTGGACGCGAGGAGGACGTGGCAGCAAGAGCAGAAGCCGAGGGAGAGGATGACATGGAGGATGCATGGTGAGATTGACGTGTTTCCTCCAAGATAAGCATCGATCGAGCTTTTTCAAAAGGGGGTAGGGGGTCGATTTGCTGAATAAAGGATGCTACGGTGGCATATGGTTCAGTGAGACCATGAATCATGCGTAACACCAGCCTTTTGTCAGTGACTTCCGCATCAACATTGGCAAGCTGAGTGGCAATGGTGCGCAATTCTTGACAATAGGCAAAAACGAAGGGGAAATTCTCCAACCGTGTGTGAGAGAATTGGTCCTCAAGGTACACGGCTCGGGAGTTTTTGTTGTCATGAAATATGTTTTCGAGACGATTCCAAGCGGCCATAGCCGTGGAGCCGGGTTCCAAAATGGTGTGCAGCAAGTCGTGCGAGATCGTTCCGTAGATCCACTGAAGAACAATGGCATCAATACGGGACCAAAGGGCAGCTTCTGCGGCAGCCCGACGGAGGCGGTCAGCCTCGGATTCAGAGTCAGACGTGGTTGAGGAAGTGTCGCCGGAGGGAGTGGTGGGCTTAAGAATGTGATCTAAGACGTCATAGGCGCGAGCTGTGAGCTTGAAAAGTTCCGCCCAGGAGGCGTATTGGGCTTTCTCGGTGTCTAAAGTGATGGGAATCAAGTTTTTTATGGATGTCACGGCGAGAGCCGGGTGAAAAGAGGGTTTGGTGGGTGTAGTCATGGAGACCGATTGTAGAAGAAGAGGCCTGATACCAAGTTAGAATTGAGAAATTCACCGTGAATATGCCTTTGGCATTTCTCCAATATATATAGAGTGTACAAAGTAATCGATAAGAATTACAGAGCCGTATCTATACAAACTACCTACTTTGTTAAACATCAGAGAAAGCTACGGAAGAATAAACCAATCTATACAACCGCACTATAAGATAATATTTGCAATATTAATTATTATGATAATACTAAGCAACTGATTCCAACGTTGACGTGTGGCACATGCTGCACATGTATGGGTATGTATGGACCCAATTTGTGTAACGATGCATAATTTCTATCACTTAGGACGCAACTCTTTGAGCGTTAATATGCAACTGCTATTTAATGACTGAATAATATGCAACACTTTGAACTTAATATGCAATACAAATAACGTAAAGATGCATCGTACAATCGTTTGCACAATAAGCATAGTGTGTGGTGTGTGTGTGTCTATATATATATATATATACTATAAATGCAAACCGAAATAGATTATACGTAAGGAAAGGAAAACATTATAAAGCGAAAAACTGAAAAGGAAAGAAACATTATACGTAACTACTAAAATAGATTAGGATGTAATAAATGCAATAAAGGAGATACGAAAATATCCCATTTACCCTTTAGAAAGAAAAACCGAAATTTAAACTAAAATTTGATATAGGCTTGTATATTGCACTTTTTCACATTTTCACCGTATTTACCAAAATGCCACCGTGTTTATTTAATATAGGCTTAATTCGAGAAATTGAAAATGTGCAACAAAATAGCTCCATTGTGCACCACATTCATTTAAATGTGAGTATTAATACACACACGCACACGTTAAGTATTAATACACACAGAATATTCGTCTCACGTTCTCACGTTAAGTATCGTTCTCATTGGAACCGCACCCTCTACACACACACACGCACACGCACACACACTAGTATCTTTACCCGTGCCGTGCACGGGATGAATTTTTTTTAGTTTTACTATTTGTGTGTGCGCATTGGCAAATGTATGAATTATTATAATTAAAGAAAAAATGCTTACTTAGTCGATTATAACAATGGTTGATAATGCATGTTCTTATTTATTGAGTATAACTTATTTTCAATCTAATTATCTAAACATGTTCTCATATATCCTATATTTAATTTTCCAATCAAAAGAGTCACATGTTTATCTCTCATTTGCATCCAAATGAAATTATTTTTTCAATCATTTTATCTATATAGAAAAAGAAATTGATCATGGGTAAACGTTCTTAGGGCGTAGTGAGAATCGAAGCCTGGAGTGAGCCGGTATAAGGAATTTTTTCAGATAAGTTTTACACATAAATTTTTACATTAAAAGTATAAAGAACTTAAAATTTTGGCGTGGGCCGTGGGCCGGTTGCCCCTACCTCCGCCCCTGAATGATCTTGTTTTAGTTTTACTATATACTAATCTTTTACCCGTGCGTTGCACGGGATAATAGATTGATTATAAAGTGATTTGACATTACTAAAAATAAGTTAACTCTTGCAAATTAAGTCTTTATTCATATTTAATTATAGTAACTCTAAATTACTTTGTATATGTATATGTATACTTCACTAATGGGACTTAGGAGTTGTTTGAGTACTACTAACCATAAAATACATTTTGGTGAGTTACATGATTTATTACAATGGGATACATGAAATGAAAATTTAACATTCCGTTTATATAGCATAAATTTTAACACTTTGATAGCTACTTTAGTAAGAAAAGATGTACTTAGTGACCTTTTAGAGTAAGAGTTTTTACACCCCTATAATTGTATCAATTCTTGAATCCAGAATATTGTTTATTTTATCAAAACCGCAATATATACATTAAATAGGAAATATACATAACAAAAAATCAACCTATATATGTAAGAGGAACTAAACTACAATTCCTAAACAGTAATTGAACACCAAATTTTATCTTCATAATTGTCCCTTACATTAGACACAGAATATCTAGTACAAAAAAGATTTATGATGCAACATGCAAGTATATAATAAGTTTAAGGACGTTATCAAACAATTAGCATGTAACATTAAAATTTCAAAATTAATTAGGCATTTGACATAAGTTAAAAATGCAGTATATAATTGGAACTAAATTTATTTTTCAAGACATGTAAATGTCCATAATGAATATAGACAATTTTTTTTTATAGATAAAACAACTTAAAAATGACCTGTGTCATGTAATGTTTTCTACTCTTTCATTTATGTGTTAAGAAATCTTTGCCTGAGAAGCAAAAAAAGAAATCTAGCCACATATATATTGCATTTATTTCTCATTGTTATCACTAAGTTATTTGGTAAATAGACCTAGAAAACAAATAACACCAATGTGTTCTTTACGAAACAAAACTGGAATGCATCAGAAATGGGATGTTAATCATGAGAATGTTTTTTTAATCAAAAGTTGTTGTAACAGAATGTTTAGGAACCTTATATATGGCTCACGATTTAACTTAAAAACTTTAAATAATTTACCTGTAGTCCAAGTGCCCAACTCTAATAAGTAAATAAAATAATAAGTCTTATAAATGAAAACTGCAAATTCACAGTGTGAGATTCTGTAATGAGACAAACGCGATATGAGTTGATAGAGCACATCAAAAGCTTCAATATGATATCTTGTGGGCCTCAGCTGGAGCACCAAGGCGAGAGTTATCCCTGTTTTCATGCAATTCATTTTCTGACGGGCTTTTCTTCAAAATCAGCTACGTCTTATCGTACTACATCAGTCCCTCCACATGTGAAAAACTCGCCCTTGAGTCCTAAAAAACTCATATAGATCCACCACATTGAAAGTCTTTGAAATAATCATGTCTTCGGGAAGATCAATTGCATATGCATTATCATTAATCTTTTCTAAAATCTTTGTAAGGATCATATTTCCTCCGCTTCAGCTTGTTGAACGACCCTAACGAAAATCTCTCCTTCCTTAAAAATATTATCACTTGGTCTCCTTGAAACAACTTTTGGCATGTATTTCACATTTTTGGCTTCAAGTCTTGCTTAAACTTCAGTCTACATATCACGTACTTGAGTTACCATATTCTCTTATGCTATACTCAAGCCATATTTAGGAGATCTTGCTAAATCCAATGCATGTCTAGAGAAAGGGGGCTGCTGTAAATCAAATAGAAAGGGGGTTGGCAAGAAGCTTGATAGAATGCATAATTATATATGCAAACTCGGCTTGTCTCTACCAATGCTACGAATCAAATTGTCCAACCTGCGATTGAGGTTCTCCATTTTTTTAAAAGATTCATCATACTTGTTCGCTTTATTCTACACTCAAAGATTCATCATTTTTTCTGCAGGAAGATAGCCATAGTTGGTATAACGGGTTAAAATAATTCTAAAGGAATAAGCAATGAAAGATTCATCACCACTAATTTTCATTATTACGTTTTGAATAGTCAAGAGAAAATATGTTTTAGCATCCTCGGAGTAAATTTTGTGCTTGAAGAACCCACCAAATCATACTACTTTCCTTGGGTCTCAAAATATGAAACTATATTGTCCGTCATAACAGAAGAACCTCTAGAACCATCCCAAAATAAGTCTCAAAAACTCAAATCACTTTCGTGCCCACATTCAGAATGCTTGCAATAGAAATAAGTTCAAACTTTGTCCTAACAGTGAGATTCTCCAGCATGTTACATACATTAATTAAAGGAAAAAATATAAGTATTATAAAATGAATTGAATAAGTGATATATATATATATATGTAATAAACATTGCTCTCTTAGTGGTTGGAATATAAAAATAAAGCAAACCTTAATTTCATTAAAACATGTAAGTTGATAATGAAACTATGAAAGTAATACATCCAAGCAGAGCCACTACATACCATGGATCATTTTGCTAAAAAGGTGTTGTAAAGGCATTGCAAAACAAATCTTAAATCCGGTATGTTGTCATTACTATCTTTCCGTTTGTGATAAAAATCTTGTCGAGTAAGACAACGAAAGATTTCAAGATAAAACTATTTTTTCCCCATGAAGTGTTGAAATAAAGGGGGGAAACCATATTTTCTTCTTCTTGCTATTACTATGTTTTAAGATCCTAGTCAAAGGAGTAAAGAAAAAGTTCATCTTATAGCCCTAGAGCATAAGTAATTAATGAAGTAAAAAACTCTAATTTCAAATATTAGAGAAGTTCATTTTTATTGCATAAAGGGAAAAAAGACATTTTTATAGAAGAGAGCAAAAAGAAGTGCAATATTCTCTTTTGATAGTATCATTTATGTGTTTCGAAACTGTCCATAAAGACAACAAATTAAACAGAAAAGTGCATTTTTTCTTCTTGTCACCACTTTTCTATAAGACTTTAGCCTATAAAGAGACGGAAATAATTGAACAGGGAAACTGCCATATTCTCTTTTAAAATTATCATTTATGTGTTTCGAAACCGTCAATAAAGACAACAAATTAAACAGAAAAGTGCACTTTTTTTCTTCTTGTCACCACTTTTCTATAAGACTTTAGCTTATGAGGAGATGAAAATAATTGAAAAGGGAAACTACAATTTTTTTAGGCTAATATTTTTAAGAAAAGAAGGAATGTAGAAAATCATACTTCTCATTGGTATAATGTTCTCCACTCAAAGTAGACCTAAACTCTTAAACTAAAAATACACAAAACATTGCCTATCTTATATACAGGGCCGGTCCCGAAGAAATGTAGACCCGGTGCGAGAATAATATTTGGGCCTTTTTTCAAGTTGCAACACAAGCAAATTGTCTTAAAATACAACATACGAATAAATGTAATGATAAAAATAGTCATTAATAACTTACAATTTATTTAAAAAGGGACATTCTTCAAGCATATTTAGATTTACGCAGGGGGATTTTGGGCTGGGGCGTAATACTAATTTTTTTTTGGGCCCTTCAAAAATCCGGGCCCTGTGCGGTCGCACTTGGCAGACATGCCCTGGGCCGGCCCTGCTTATATACCACATGCTAAAAAATCCCATAGTCTTAGTCATGAATCAAGGAATTGGGTCTTATACTCTTAGACATGAGTACAGAATGTAAGTATGTACAAATTGTATAGTTGTTCAACTATAAGCAGAGTAGAAATACTGAGTTGTATACTGGTATACATGAATAACGATTTTTATCTTATACATGAGCATATTTGATGACCTGGTTTCAAATAAACTAGTATAGTACCCGTGCGATGCACGGGATCGCACA